GGTCTACTCAATGTTTTGGCATTCTCTTCCAGTAAACCACGTCGTAGTTTATAAAATAGAAAAAAAACACGTTAGCAATAAAATTAAGAGCACAGTAATATAAATAAATAGGTAACAAAGGGTCTACTCAATGATTTGGCATTCTCTTCCAGTCAACCACGTCGTAGTTTATAAAATAGAAAAAAAAACGTTAGCAAAAAAATTAAGAGCACAGTAATATAAATAAATAGGTAACAAAGGGTCTACTCAATGTTTTGGCATTCTCTTCCAGTCAACCACGTCGTAGTTTATAAAATAGAAAAAAGAACGTTAGCAATAAAATTAAGAGCACAGTAATATAAATAAATAGGTAACAAAGGGTCTACTCAATGTTTTGGCATTCTCTTCCAGTAAACCACGTCGTAGTTTATAAAATAGAAAAAAAAACGTTAGCAATAAAATTAAGAGCACAGTAATATAAATAAATAGGTAACAAAGGGTCTACTCAATGTTTTGGCATTCTCTTCCAGTCAACCACGTCGTAGTTTATAAAATAGAAAAAAAAACGTTAGCAATAAAATTAAGAGCACAGTAATATAAATAAATAGGTAACAAAGGGTCTACTCAATGTTTTGGCATTCTCTTCCAGTAAACCACGTCGTAGTTTATAAAATAGAAAAAAAAACGTTAGCAATAAAATTAAGAGCACAGTAATATAAATAAATAGGTAACAAAGGGTCTACTCAATGTTTTGGCATTCTCTTCCGGTCAACCACGTCGTAGTTTATAAAATAGAAAAAAAAACGTTAGCAATAAAATTAAGAGCACAGTAATATAAATAAATAGGTAACAAAGGGTCTACTCAATGTTTTGGCATTCTCTTCCAGTAAACCACGTCGTAGTTTATAAAATAGAAAAAAAAACGTTAGCAATAAAATTAAGAGCACAGTAATATAAATAAATAGGTAACAAAGGGTCTACTCAATGTTTTGGCATTCTCTTCCAGTAAACCACGTCGTAGTTTATAAAATAGAAAAAAAAACGTTAGCAATAAAATTAAGAGCACAGTAATATAAATAAATAGGTAACAAAGGGTCTACTCAATGTTTTGGCATTCTCTTCCAGTAAACCACGCCGTAGTTTATAAAATAGAAAAAAAAACGTTAGCAATAAAATTAAGAGCACAGTAATATAAATAAATAGGTAACAAAGGGTCTACTCAATGTGTTGTCATTCTCTTCCAGTCAACCACGTCGTAGTTTATAAAATAGAAAAAAAAAACGTTAGCAATAAAATTAAGAGCACAGTAATATAAATAAATAGGTAACAAAGGGTCTACTCAATGTTTTGGCATTCTCTTCCAGTAAACCACGTCGTAGTTTATAAAATAGAAAAAAAAACGTTAGCAATAAAATTAAGAGCACAGTAATATAAATAAATAGGTAACAAAGGGTCTACTCAATGTGTTGGCATTCTCTTCCAGTCAACCACGTCGTAGTTTATAAAATAGAAAAAAAAATGTTAGCAATAAAATTAAGAGCACAGTAATATAAATAAATAGGTAACAAAGGGTCTACTCAATGTTTTGGCATTCTCTTCCAGTAAACCACGTCGTAGTTTATAAAATAGAAAAAAAAACGTTAGCAATAAAATTAAGAGCACAGTAATATAAATAAATAGGTAACAAAGGGTCTACTCAATGTTTTGGCATTCTCTTCCAGTAAACCACGTCGTAGTTTATAAAATAGAAAAAAAAACGTTAGCAATAAAATTAAGAGCACAGTAATATAAATAAATAGGTAACAAAGGGTCTACTCAATGTTTTGGCATTCTCTTCCAGTAAACCACGTCGTAGTTTATAAAATAGAAAAAAGAACGTTAGCAATAAAATTAAGATCACAGTAATATAAATAAATAGGTAACAAAGGGTCTACTCAATGATTTGGCATTCTCTTCCAGTCAACCACGTCGTAGTTTATAAAATAGAAAAAAAAAGCGTTAGCAATAAAATTAAGAGCACAGTAATATAAATAAATAGGTAACAAAGGGTCTACTCAATGTTTTGGCATTCTCTTCCAGTCAACCACGTCGTAGTTTATAAAATAGAAAAAAAAACGTTAGCAATAAAATTAAGAGCACAGTAATATAAATAAATAGGTAACAAAGGGTCTACTCAATGTTTTGGCATTCTCTTCCAGTAAACCACGACGTAGTTTATAAAATAGAAAAAAAAACGTTAGCAATAAAATTAAGAGCACAGTAATATAAATAAATAGGTAACAAAGGGTCTACTCAATGTTTTGGCATTCTCTTCCAGTAAACCACGACGTAGTTTATAAAATAGAAAAAAAAACGTTAGCAATAAAATTAAGAGCACAGTAATATAAATAAATAGGTAACAAAGGGTCTACTCAATGTTTTGGCATTCTCTTCCAGTAAACCACGACGTAGTTTATAAAATAGAAAAAAAAAACGTTAGCAATAAAATTAAGAGCACAGTAATATAAATAAATAGGTAACAAAGGGTCTACTCAATGTTTTGGCATTCTCTTCCAGTCAACCACGTAGTAGTTTATAAAATAGAAAAAAAAACGTTAGCAATAAAATTAAGAGCACAGTATAATAATAATAATTACAGATTACTAGATATTATTGAAGAGCCGCGGTAGGTCAGGGGTTAAGTGTTCGCTGTAAATTTCACGACGAGAGCAACCCAGGTTCGATTTGGCGGAGATACATAACAGCACCCGTAGTCACGGGGGAAAGACCGCGGGTTGTAATCGAACTATAATAAATAAGATATTATACATTTCGGTATATAATTTGAAGCTTTTTTATACATTTATATATATATAAATACAATTTAAGTGTATCTCTGTAACATGTTAATAAATAAAAGACAGTTCGTCGTTCGAATCAAGTTCAGGGGGTCATTTGTATGCCATTAACACTTGAACAACCAGTTTTAAAATTTTTGTCTGTCTGTCTGACTGTTCGGGCATTTCGGTGAACGGTCAGAGTGCAGTGCCAGAAGAGATCTAGGTCCTAAAGAATTGGAGATATTTTGTAAGGAAATCAAAAATATTATAAAATGGTCTTTGATGATTATTTGAAACCTAAATAATGGCAGGCAAAGGAAGGGTGTGTCGCTAGTAAAGAATCAGTTCTAAAACTGAACTCTAAAGTGTATTAAAAATAAAAGATTTCTGGATCATCCATCCTTCAGTAATTATAGCTACAACGCTAAAACATAGATTGCCTCATAGGTGGGATTTTGCCATAGTTGCCATTTGGCAGACGGGCTAGCAACCGCATTGTTTTCGTTTATTATCAGGAAGATGCTGCTGCCCATCTCCTGTATCAGTTTCCCTCAGTTAAAAGGTCAATTACAAAAGACGAAATATAGTTCCATAAAAGCACTTAAATAAAAAAGATGCCTAGCAAAATTACGCATGCGTTCGTCGCCAAAACCAATAACGTAGCGTTCATTCGACCGTGAGCCGCCCTAAAAGCGTTAAGTTCACCGAACCGCCCCGACACGGTGGATTAGTGTTACATACGAATATTTCAACACTGGCCATTAATCCATAATCCGTTGAGGGCCGAGAAACATTCAGTGAAAGTTTCCAAACGCATATTAAATACGCAATTACTGTCAAAATTGCTGGAATAACATAACACCTCCGATCAAAAATGGTGACATGACCATTACCATTCACATTACCATTCCGTATGACGAGAACCTCGTGAAAGCCGAAACAGATAAACGATCAAAATATCTAGACCTGGCTCACGAGGTAACCGACATGTGGGGTGGTCTGCCGACTGAAATTATTCCTGTAGTCGTTTCTGCAAACGGGCTAATCCCAGTCAGCCTCTCGGGTCATCTGAGGAGGCTGGGACTCCGTGACGGGCTGCTCCAGGCTCAAATGCAGAAGGCGGTGCTCCTCGATGCCGCCCGCATCGTCCGCCGGTTTCTCTCCCTTTCCCCCATAACCCTCGGCCGTTTCGTCTCCCCTGCCGAGGGCCTCCATCTAGTTGGGCTTTTATTTATTTGTGTATTATTTTATTTGTTTGTACTGGTATATGAAATATATATTTATGTATATTTATCATTTCTTTTTATATATTTATTCAGCCCAACCAGATGTGATTACTCTATCCCATAATAATACCATAATAATAATAATAATTAATAATGGATAATGGATGATGGATAAGATTGGAAAACGTATAGGGCCGCTGCCTGGGGGTCGCCGGGGCGCGTCTGGAGCTGGCGCTGGACGCGGCTGCATGCGGGCCGCCAGCCGAGCGCGAGGAGCTGCAAGATCACCTAACAGCCCCCCGCATCCATCATCCCCACCAAACGGCTTGATGTCGGCAGGGTCCTCTCGGACTCGGCAAGCGGCATCCGCCGCTGGTGGAGTGCGCCGCATGCGTTGGACAAGGGATATGAACGCAAACGCAATGCGGGCGTACTATAGGGCGAAAGGGGAAGAAACTGCGGGGATAGCGTATCGGGCTCGGATGCATTGCTTTTTTGCTGAGCTGGAGCCGTCTATTCCCGTCACGGAACAAAACCTGGCAGACCGAGTTCGGTACATCATGCGCTCAAAAATATTCGATGATGCCGAGCTCGAACGACTACGACGTGAGGCCATTCCCTCATCGAATGAATTGGCTACGGCTGGGGATGAGGCTCCTCAGGCGACAGACCAGCTGCCACGCGTACAAGCCGCCATGGATCTTCCATTTTCTGGTTGTGGGTGATTCAGACGATGATGAAATGGTCTCCCACGAACTAGAGCAAATGAGGAGTATATTGGAAGAGGCGATTTTAGAAACGTGCAGCATGCCTCTCGAAAATCGACCGCGACTTCCCCGCATACCCCTAAGCAAGCGAAATCGGGCTGTCGTGAGGGCTCTTAACCCAATGCTGGTAACCTATTTGGAAGCCAGCCGGGACCTTTGCGAGACGGACTCAGTTCTTTTTGGCGCCGCAGTGGCAGCTTGCCGTATTATTGGCGCCAAACTTCCCATGGCTGGACGCGCTACTAAACAAAGTAGCGCCATCGGGTAATAATAGACCGAGGGTTGTGCGCACCGTTAGAATGGCGTTTGCTGGGACAAATATCAGTTTGTCCCAGCCGGATATCACGCAGAAACTAACGGAGCGCATAGACGACCTGAAGCAAAAGATTGCCGCTTGGGGGAAGCGGATTCGCCGATTTACCGAGAGGTCAAGGCGGTTCAACCAGAATCGTCTCTTCCAGAGTGATCAGAAGAGGCTCTACAAATCATTGGAGCGACCAGAGGTATGTGGAGCGGGCCCAGGACCGGATCAGGCTAACACTGTCGCATTTTGGCGTGGCCTGTGGTCAGAGCCCGTAAACCACAGCGAGGGCCCTTGGACGGAAGTTGTGGCGAGTCAGTGTGCGAGTATTACGCCCATGGACTCCGTCATCACAACGCCGGATGACGTAGCTGAGGCGGTCCGTAGAGCCCCGAACTGGAAAAGTCCGGGACTCGACGGACTACATCACTATTGGCTGAAGGGGTTCATGGTGTGTCACGCTGTGCTCGCCCGTCAGTTTCAAGAGGCTCTCAACCAGAAGTCGCTCCCTAGCCTCTTCACTACTGGGATCACTCATTTGGTTCCTAAAGACCAGGTTACCACAGACCCGAGCAAATACCGCCCCATTACGTGTCTACCCACCATATATAAGACACTGACATCCATTTTGAGCGCGAGAATCACTCGTCACCTGGAGCTAAATCAGGTGATGTCACGCGCTCAAAATGGATGTCGGGGCGGTGGTCGTGGAACCAAGGAACCACTCCTCATTGACGCGGTCATTGGCAAAGTGGTGAAACGCAACCGTCGGAACTTCTCCGCCGCCTGGATAGACTACAGAAAGGCATTCGACTCGGTGCCCCATACATGGCTAAAGAGAGTCCTCGAGCTGTACAAGATAGACTGTACAGTGAGAGACTTCCTCGAGCAGTGTATGGGGCAGTGGAGTACGATCCTTTGTCATCTGGGTGAGTGGATGATGGCTGCGGAGAACCACATAAGGATAAGAAGGGGTATCTTCCAGGGCGATTGTCTGAGTCCAATCTGGTTCTGCCTCTCCCTGAACCCTCTCAGTACCTTACTGGAGGGATCCGGGAGAGGATTTCAGCTACGGAAAGGAGGGACAAAAGTGACCCACCTTTTCTATATGGATGACCTTAAGTTATTCGCCTCCAGTCGCTCCCATCTTGTGGAATTGCTAAAAATCACTTGTGAGTTTAGCAGTTCCATTGGAATGGAGCTGGGGACGGATAAGTGTGCGGTCCTCCATGTTGAGAGGGGAAGGGTTGCTAACTCTGAGGGCATAGATTTATCTATGCCCGTCAACTTAAGGACCCTTTCCGAGGCTGAAACATACCGATACCTGGGTATGTCACAGAACATCGGTATCGATGAGGCTGGTGTGAAACAGTCAGTTTGCGACGTGTTTTATGCACGCTTGACCAAAGTGCTTAATAGCCTTTTTGTCCGGTGTGAATAAGACACACGCATATAACGGTTGGGTCATGCCTGTCCTTATGTATACCTTTGGCATACTCAGGTGGACTCAGACTGAACTTAACGCCCTGGATAGAAAAGTCCGCACTACCATGACGTCCCATAGGATGCATCATCCGAGATCGTCGGTAATGAGGCTGTACTTGCCGCGAAAGCATGGTGGGCGTGGCTTTCTGAGTGCACTCACTATGCATAATCGTGAAGTGTGCAGCCTCCGTCATTACTTCCTGGCGAGATCGGATGATCCATTCTATAATGACGTCATTTCTAGTGATAAAGGGCTTACCCCTCTATCCTTGGCCAACGAGCAATGGCAGGACCCAGCAGTGCTTAGCATTTCCGACCGGGAGACCGTATGGAAGGAGAAGGAGCTCCACGGGAGGTACTACAGGGTTCTACATGAGCCCTTCGTAGATACAGTCGCCTCCCTCAACTGGCTACGTTTCGGTGACCTCTTCGGGGAAACCGAGGGTTTTGTCTGTGCAATACAGGATCAGGTTATTAAGACCAACAACTATCGGAGATACATCCTAAAGGATGGCACCGTCGACGTCTGTCGAGCTTGTCGTCATCCCGGGGAGTCACTTAGACATGTCATCTCCGGTTGTTTGGCGCTTTCTAACTCTGAGTACTTGCACAGGCACAACCTAGTAGCCAGAATTCTACACCAGGCGCTCACTCTGAAATACGGTCTCGTGGACCGGAAATTGCCGTATTACAAGTACTTGCCGGAAGCCGTGCTCGAAAATGACCGCGCCAGGCTCTACTGGGACCGGGCCATCATCACAGACAGGACTATTCTTGCAAATAAGCCTGATATTGTGCTGATGGACCGGGCACAGTCAAGGATATTTTTGGTCGACATTACCATTCCGTATGACGAGAACCTCGTGAAAGCCGTAACAGATAAGCGAACAAAATATCTAGACCTGGCTCACGAGGTGACCGACATGTGGGGTGGTCTGCCGACCGAAATTATTCCTGTAGTCGTCTCTGCAAACGGGCTAATCCCAGTCAGCCTCTCGGGTCATCTGAGGCGACTGGGACTCCGTGACGGACCGCTCCGGGCTCAAATGCAGAAGGCGGTGGTCCTCGATACCGCCCGCATCGTCCGTCGGTTTCTTTCCCTTTCCTCCTAACCCTCGGCCGTTTGGTCTCCCCTGCCGAGGGCCTCCATCTGGTTGGATATTTATTTATTTGTGTATTTTTTGTATTTATTTGTATTTTATTGATATTTATGTATATTTATCTTTTCATTTTAATTTATAATTATATATTTATAGAAACCAACCAGATGAGAAAACTATACAGATACCCCAAAAATAATAATTAATAATAATTAATAATATTTTACAATAATTAAATTAATTATATATTATATATATATATATATATATATATATATATATATATATATATATATATATATATATATATATATTATTATTACTGGATACTGGACGATATAGAATATAATGGTAATTAAACAAAAACGAAATAGAAAATAATGGTTTTTAAAAAAAGTAAATAACATAAGCACTGCTTATGTATAGTTAGTTCAGTTAGTATGCAAAGTTTCATGATCTTATTTAATGTATTTATTTTATGAATAACAGCGGTTTATTGTTCAGTTTGGAGGTAACTTTGGATTTTTTAACGTGGACATTTCTGACACTGCCTCTATACTGGTTTGTGTACCAAAATAAATAAATGACGAATGAGTTTTAACAGAATAATCCGTTCTTAATTATGACAAAGTTCTTTCAAATTCAATCATAACTTCCGCTGATATACATTCGCAAAGTAATTCTTTCCTCCATAAAAGCTTTACTTACTGTTTGTTCGTCAGGCTAAATTAAAATTAGCAGCGCGCCGAGACCGAGGTTGTTTGAAACAAAGTTTTCCGTTCTTAAATAAACACTTTATTAGCTTTATAGAACGTTCTCGTAAACGTGTTTAAACTATCTTCTATATCTACAATTATAAATAAAATTAAAGTGTATGTAATATTGAGATAAACTGGTTTCTATTAAGTTCATGGGGTTATTTATATGCTCTTGAGACATAAACAACAATTTAAAAACAATTAAGCTATAATTTATCCGAAAAGGTTCAAGATTTATTATATTGAAAAGTTTATAATTTATCCGTATGGGATCTGAGCCCGCGGCCTCGCAGCGTTTTTTTTTTTTTTTTTTTTTTTTTTGCGCCCGAAGCAATTAAAGGGCTACCCTATACGTAGGGAGGCGGAAAATGCATTACGCATACCACGATAGCCGGTCTATCGTGGTTATGGGGGACTCACTGTCCTACCGGGGACCCTAAGTGATACCCCCTAAAAACCGCCTTTGGGGACAGGCAACCGGCTGATTAAGCTCTATTGTGCCTTATCATGAGCGACCCTCTTTTGGGAAAAGAGGGCGCAGGCGGCTAAGTGCCGCTGAGGGAGTGCCTACGAAGGCAAGTTAATGTTAGATATTACAATAATTTTATTTAATTAGAGTTGGCCTGAGCTGCCAGGAGACAGTTCAGGTCGTTTGAAAGTTTATTAGGCGGGTCCGAGAGAGAGTTTCTCGGCCTGCGGAGTCCTCGCAGTGTCACAGCGGAGTGCTTATCTACAGAAAGTCACTGGTATCCTGCAGGTTCTCTACCGCCTAAAAAACTTTCTTCTAGGACCAAAACATTAATTGTGCAATCCTTAATTCTTCCCCTGATTGATTACGGTACGTGTGTTATTTCGACCTAAATGCAGATCTTCTTGACAAATTTGCTGTAGCCATGACAGAAACCTGCGTTCTTCGAATAACCTTTCACTTCATTGTCCCACTTCTAAATCAAAAAGTCTTCCTGTATTTTTTCTTCACTGTACTGTCTGTTCTCCTGTGGAAAACACTCCCTCTTGAAATTAGAACGACTAACAATCGTTTTGCATGCAAGATTAAAGTTCTAAAACATTATTATAGTTATGTTTTTTTTTAAATATTGGATAAGGGTGACAAACGCACACAGTCCACCTGATGGTAAGTGGATTCTGTGGCCCATAGAAATCTTCGGTTCTCTACACTCACCATACGAGACACACCAGCATTAACCTGCTATTTTAGGCTGGTATTCTGTGAGAGCGTGGTCCTTCCCCGTTCGAGCAGACCCATTCATGCTACAACCATAGTATAGCCGCAGGGTGGCTCTACCACGTATGAATAATCTGGCAGAATCATCTCACTAATACTACTTGTTTATGTATGTATAAAAATATAATTGTATAATGAATGTAGTTTATGTTAATTTTGTATGTACAAAGTACTATATATACACATATGTATATAGTAAATTATTTTGATATGCAAGTTTATTTATGGGTACATGGAATTGTTGCTTATATACTTAGATTTATATTTCTTACTTCCAATATTTCACATATCTGCTTCATATTTTTGTCTCTGCATCACCAAAGTTTGACTGGTAGAGAACGTCTTGGGCATTGAGTCCGCCTATACATCATGTTGTACGAAGTTTAAATAAACAATATCTGGCGACTACAATACGATATGTTACAATAAAAAAGTAATACATAAACATATACCATAACAAAGTGCCTCACGCTTGTCACTCCCAGGGGTATAGGCAGAGACTACGGACTTTAATTTGGCACGATCCTGACACACCTATCTAGCTTCCTTTGAATCAATAAATCTACGCATGCATGTTCCTCGGATAAGGTTACTCTTAATTTGGGTTCTTAATATGTCACCAATTTGATCGATACACTTCCACCTAGGACGCTCTCACCGACTCAACCACGCACTTATAACTGTACTGGTAGTATTATAATACTATAGAATAGTTCGAAGAATCAACAGTAAAAAAATCATTGTGTATAGTGAACGTTGCCTTGTTGTAACTTAAATCATCATAGCCTATTTTTATTATAAAGACGAAAGTTGATGAGCGAGCACAAAGCCCACCTAATGGCAAGTGGATGCTGTGGTCCATATACTTCTACATCTATCCTATATTAAGTACTGTTGAACATAGGCGCCCCTCATAGTTGTATGTGCAATAATTGCCACGCTTGGCAGGCTGATTGACAACTGTAGG